TGTCTCAAGAAATAAAAAGAAAAAAAGATGGAAGCAGAGAAACCATTTGCATTTGGACCTGGAAACCAGGCCCTGAGGTCTAACAGACCTCAGATAAGGACAATTCTAAGTCAGTCGGAAGAACCCAGGATCAACAGATCACCCTAGAAGGTGGCAAGTCCTCTATAAAGAGAAGGATAATAAAGGGCTGATGGAGACAGTAAAGATGGCTGGAGACCAAAGATGGCTGTACACAGGGATAGAGGAAGACAGCTGGCTGATACTTCCACCTTGGACTTGCCCATGACAGGCTTGGTACACCTGCTGCTCCAGTAAAATTCTCAATAACCTCTCTCCAGAGTACAAATGTCCATGGCTCTCATCTCACTCAGAAACAGAATACACATTACAAGCAGAGGCTAATTCACAAATTTTACAAAACGGACAGTGGTTCAGACCTACCTGAGTCACTGAGAAAGCCAATGGCAGAATGTTGTTAAAAAAAAAAAAAAAAGAATTTTGTTTTCTAAAGACAACTAGAGGTCTATTCTTCTTTCTGTGTAACGCAGGCCTACTATATACTTAGAAGGGGTCTCGGATCTTCACTTTTAATCCATCTCAGAAATACATCCTAGGGGTTTATACAACCTTTGCAGATTAAAGTCAATGCTTGTGGTGGAAAGCAACTGGAGTTACAGATATCATTTGAATCATCCCTACACAGGATCCACTCAGGAAAACCAGAGAAGCTCAAATCTTCATGAAAACAGGTGGGACACGCATGAATGAACAGTACAAAGGGCCGCACCCCACTCCTCCAGCACACGCCTCTCCTAGCTTCCTTTCCTCTGCAAGTCAAAGTGAGAGTTCTCATTATGTGGTAAAATACACATAATGCAAAACTGATCTTAACAATTTTTAACTTCACAGTTCATTGGCATTAAGTCGAGTCACTGTGTTGTGGAAGACTACCACCATTTACTCACAGAACTCTTTTCGACTTGCAAAACTAAAACTTTGAACCCATGCAGTAAGTCCCCATTCTCCTCTTCTCCAGCCTCTGGCAGCCAACATTCCACTTGGCCTCTCCGGGAGGGACTTCAGGTAAGTGTAATTAATCACTCAGGATTTGTCTTTTTGCATCTGACTTATTTTACCTAGCACAATGTTCTGAAGGTTAATCCATGTTGTAGCCTGTGTCAGAACTGCCTTCCTTTCTAAGGCTGAATGATAGTTAATTGAATTTATACAACATGTTGTTTATCTATTTGATCATCAATGGACACTTGGGTTGTTTCCACCTTTGGACTATTGTGAATGATGCTGCTATGAACATGGACATGTAAATATCTCCTCAAGATTCTGTTTCCAGTTGGTTTGGTTATATACCCAGAAGTTTAATTGTTGGATATACGATAATTCTATTTTTAACTTTCTGGGGAACCACCAAACTATTTTCCACAGTGGTTGTACCATTTTACATTCTCACCAACAGTGCAAAAGCAAAAGTTCTAATTTCTCCACCTCATCACCAACACTCATTTTCCACTTATTTTTTTCATTGCCATCCTTGTGGGTGTGAAGTGGTATCTCAATTGTGGTTTTGATTTGCATTTCCCTAAGTCAAAGTGAGATTTTTGCATTAAAAACAGGTCTCAAAATGCTATGTTGCCCAAAAGAATTTTTTCCCTAACATCTCTGTGATAAGAACCTCACAGATACAGTTCCATTCCCACTCTGTAAACCGTGAGGTTCAGAATAGAGATGCCAAACTAATGGCATCCACATTTCTCAGCCCAAGCAGGTATTAACAATCTCTGGGAAATCTCAACCCAAGTCAGAAAGAGAGCTAAAAAAGCTGTTAAGAGGGCAACAGGTATTTATCTATAAAGAATATTACTGTGAAAATAATTCTAAACAGTGAGCATATTGCTAAATAAAACACTGTGCTGGTCCTGACACCTAGAATTGGTCACAAAAACAACAGGTGGTCTTCTACATATTCAAACTTGCCTACTGAACCCAGTATTCACCATCAGCTCCTACAATCCCCGCAGGCCACTACTCATCGTGAATTCATCAAACAAAATAAATACACTCTTCATATGAAATCATCTATCTAGGCTTTGCTTCAAAACAATCCAAAGGGCGGGGTGGGGAATGCAAATGAAATAAGATCAGCTATGAGTTGATAATTTTTAAAGCTAGATGATGGGAACATGGAATTCATTACATGATTCTATTTTTGTATGTTCTCCATTTAAGAGAAACTTCTTTGAAGAAGTAAAGGCTTAGCATAACATATTATACATTTTCAGCTCCCTTATGAGGCAGACAACAGGCAGCTCAGATCAATATTTCATACAGAAAACATGGAGGCTTATCAAGGTCACTGAGTTCACATCTGAGTCCAGATTGGTTCCTTGGTGCCCAGAGCCAGCCAGCACCCTCCTGCCACACCATGAGCTTCCAGGACAAGCTGTGTACTGAACTCTCAGGTCTCACTGCTAGTTCCTGTGCAAATGTGAAGACTGCTAACCACTGTCAGGAATCCAGGAGGGAAGGTCCAGCAGCCTACCCCTGAGGGGCACCTGGCCTCCCACTCCCCATTTTCCAACTAAACACTTTCTCATGCCTCATTTTTCTGACTGTTCCTGTTTGTGCCTTCCTGTTCTACCCCAGTGCACACTAACTGAAAAATGATTAACTCTAGACTCTCACGTTGCCAATTCTGCAAAACCCCGATAAGACTGCAGCATCCTTCAACCACCAAGCATACTTTCTACCATGCTGGATTCATGAACTCTGATATTGGAAACTGGTGCTGCAAATATGTTATTGGGAAAGTTCGTAGAGCTCCCCAAGAGCTAAGAATCTGTCCTGAAAAGCCTCTGAAGACACAGAGATTACTTGGGCCCTCTGCCACAGCAGCAGTTGGCAGAGTTTTGCTCTAACTGCAAAAATCAAGAGGAGGGTCAGAGGTTGAAGTACAAAGCCAAGTGAGCACACCCAGGGGAGTGAAATGGGTGTACAAAGTATCAGTCCACCTGGGAATGCAGGGCAAAGCCAGAGGGCGCTCCTTCAGACAGGGAGCAATGCTGGGATGGGACACAGCCCTCACACTAGGCAGGACCCAAGGCACCACATCAGATGTCCAGCAATGCCCTATTTCAGAGACAATGACAAGGTTGCTGGTAAAAGGATGTCTGAGTACAAATAAAGAGCTGAGTGAATCCCACCTTATTATTCCAGGACAGAAAACCCCCAAACACACTGACATAAATTACCAGGAGATGCTGCTATAAAATAAAGATTGAAAAGCTGAGAAGTCTTAGTGTGTTTGTCTTGCTTAAAGAGTTCCAATTGAAATAGGAAATGCCAAATCCGCAGAAGCAAAATGTATCACAGACACTCATTCTGTCCCTCCTTCTCCATCTGCTCCCAGGCACACACTTACAAACTGCTTGCTTAATGGTTTTAAAAGCCTCTGTGTACAATCATGTCCCTGGCCTTCCTGCACAGAATCAACTCCTGCCTCTCCCTCAACCAACCCCACCTCATGCCGTAAGACATATCTCTCTTAACCCTTGACCATCTCCAGCCAGTGCCCATTTTTTCTGCTCCTCTTAAGGGCAGCATCCTTGCAAAAACTGTTGAAAGTCACCATTTCACTTGTTTATGTACTGCTGGCTCCTCGGCCAACTCAAGCTGGGTTTCCATCCCCAAACCCCAGCCAGAGCACACAGCTGCTCTAGTCAAGGCCACCAACTACCCGCCCCTCTTGTCTAAGCCACTGCCAGTGATCTGTCCTCATGTTTTACCTTGCTTTCGTGTAGCTGACTGCTCCTTCGTGGAAGGCTTCTACAACACAAGATCTCCTGTTTTCCTTTTATGTCAAGCCACTCACTCTCAGCCAACTTGGGAGTGGACTTTCCTCCTCAACTCAACCTCTAGCATCCTGGGGCTCAATATTCAGGCATCTCCTCTTCTCAGTCAACACGCTCATCTCTGAAGCTCTCATAGGTCTACCCTTACTCTGACGGTGGCTGACACTTTCATTTACAGGACAGTCACTGACAAAAGGAACTTACTTAGATCTCCATGAGGCAAAGAGACAACTCAAACGTACCCTTCTGTCCCCAAATCCCACCTCAGTATGTGGTACCACCACCCGTCCCCTCCCTCTGCAGTCACTGCAATATCAGATCACATCATCCAACTTATAACCTTCTAGGAGTTATCTAAAGTAGCAGAAAATAATTCCAATTACTTACTGAAACCCACACAATCCTTATGACCTAGCTCCTGCATACCTCTGTCCTCACCAGCTCCAGTCACAAGGCCTTCTTTCTGTCCTTCACACATTTCAAGCTCAATCCTGCTTCAGGGCCTTGGCAGCTGTCCTCAGTGCCTGGAGCTTTCCACCCAGACACCCAACTAGGCAGCCTCTTCATTAGTACTCAGGTGTCAGCCCAAAAGTCCCCTCCTTGGAATGCCCTTTCCTGGCCATGCTAAGCTAGCCCATGAGCTCTGCTGCTCAGTAGGCTAATATTACTCATGGCTAAATAAGCACCACCGGGTAGGTCTTTTTTTTTTTTTTTCAGTTTGGCCACCTCTGGCATATGGGGCCAGTGCTCTACTCCTTTGAGCCACAGGCACTGCCCGAGGGTGGGTCCTTATTGCCTTAGTCTACTATCACATCTCAGGTCCTGGCTCACAGTCAAACACACACAAAGTACCCAGCTGCTGACATCTCACTGTGGCATTTCCGGGGCAGAGATGGAGCTAGATAGACAAGAATCTGGGCCAGAGCCCCAAGCCTTCCTGAACTCCTTCCTGGGCTTGGGCTGGCCTTCCCCATTACGGCCTCTGCCACTGGTTCTGTGAGGGCAGGGGTCAGCACCCCTGTCCGCCACGTATCCCAGAGCCTCACATGAGAGTCTGGCAAGTCAAAAGGATGTGAAGAATCATGATTACTGAGAAGCCTACAGGAGGGAGTGTGGCCACTCTCGTCCACTTACCCAGAAGACGATGTTGTAGCTGAAAAGGAGATACTTGTACCAGCAGCTGACTTTGGCGTTAGAGTATCTATAATAGTGCATCTTCTGAGAAGCAGAATCTGCGGAGAGACGTGGGAGTGGTGAGGTAACAAGTTCAGTTTAAAACACCTCCCCCAAACCTGCTCACATGCAGGTTCCAGAAGGCTCCAGATTATTCCCCTCACACCCCTTTACCAGTCCAGGCACAGGCCTACTACAAAGGACAGCAACAGGTGAGATTAAACTCAGGTGAGCTCAGCTTTCCAAAAAACAAACAGGAGTAAGGGGCATTTGTGAAAGAAGGGAGAAAGAGGCTTTAAAATAATCTTCTAAGTGCCACGAACTCTGCTTGGAACCTTCTCATGCATTTATCTCATCAGCTCTTGATCAAGGATTGATTTTTCCACTCCGGGTTGAGGAAACAGGAATTCAGAAAGGTCATGTGACTTGCTCAAAGACAGTGACAGAGCCCAGGATCTGAACCAAGGATGGGGGATTCTGCAGTCCACATTCTCTCCATTCATCAGAGATGATGGAAGAAATAAGGACCCAACCACGAAGAGCCATATTTAGGACTAAGAGATGAACAGGCTGGTGGGTTTGGACACAATCTAACTGTGCCCAGTAAAGAACTATGGCTCCAAATTTATTTATCTAATGTTTTCTGAGACAACCTCCCAAACTCAGCCCTTGTCCCACCCACTGTCCTCTCTCCTACTTCCCCCAACCCCCATTTCCAGCACCATGGCCATGGCTCTGGCTTCTGGGCTATAATGAGGTTTGAACTACTGGACCCATATGGCAGTACCCTGTAAAACACAGAGTGAAGGGTGGAGCCCTATGTTTTATCTGTGTCCATCCCCCAAATCCCCTCCGAGAGTCCCACAAAAGGAGATTGCCATCACAGGGGAATTCTGAGGGCCTGGCCCACCTATATTACTTTTTGTCTGAACCCCAATGGCAATCCAGGTAGACCATTGAGTCGTCACTGTCCCTTACCTCCAACACAGTGGCTGAGCAGTGTGGGAAGTGGTGGTGCCTCAGGGGGAGCTCCCCTGCTCACCCTTCACTTCCCAGGGTGAGGAAACAGGCCAAATGTAACAGAGCCTGAGGCAAGAACAAGGCCACCCTGGCAACAAGGAGATGACCCACCCACAACTGCCAGTGGCTACTTGCAAAACCCCTTCCTGTGAGGTAGTCTCAGCAGCCTGGCCATTGTTTGGTAAGGTTTTGAGAAAGTGGTGCCAAGAAGGGACATGAAAGCCGGTCCCTCTGGACCCTATGACTACTCCATCCCTCTCACGGTGTGGAATCGCAGGCACAGTCTGGACACCACCATTCACTCACACAGCTCCCTCCTTCCCAGGGGCTGGGAGTGCCTAGCCTGTCTGACCTCAGTAGCCAGCCAGGGAGGGGACAGCCATCCTCCACTTACCATCCGCAAAACTCCCCTCCAAGAGTAAGTGTCAACACAACTACCTACTGACCAAGGACTCCATATGCAAGACCTGGACAGCCCCCGTGCCACATAGAGAGGTCGCTGGGAGAAGAGAACAGAGGTTTCAGGCCCAGACCTGTGATTATATTCAGCAACATATAATCGCAATCCCTGTCCTCTCCGGGCTTCAGCATCCTCAACTGAAATGGGGCTTTCCGTGATCAGTCCCCAATATCACTGACACTGGCATTAGGGGCCCAGCTGACAGCATTAGCATGACTTATTCTAAATACAGATCCCAGCCCCACCCCAGGCTTTGATAAAGAGGTCTGGTTTGGGGCTCTGAATCTGCATTTCAAACAAGCTTCCCAGGTGATTTTGATGTGCCCACTGGACCAGGTATCAATGTGGGCACCAGGGGCTGCAGCAGTCCCTTAGGGGATCCTGCAAGGTGGAAGGGCCTTGTTAGCTGTGGACCAGCACACGAGACTGCGGGGGGGGGGGGGGCAACTCCTCACGGCAACTAACTGAAGGTAGCTAACATTCACCTGCTTGTGTTTCACAGATTCCAGAGCCACTGGACACTGGTTTTGATTTTGGTTTTCTTTTTTAACTGAATTGTTTGTTTGTTTGGGAGTTGAGAGAGGTTGGGCTGGATTCACAAATGTAGGGGAACAAATTGTTTCAATCCTAAACCTCAAGTACATTTATCACAGAGAATAGCCAATTTGACTGGAAATGCCTATGAGGCAAGAACATGTTCTCTGGCAGAAACTCCATACTGTTTTAGGGATGCAACCCTCCTGCTCCCAGAATGCCACATGCACTCCTTCCTGATGGTTCCCAGAGAAGCCCTCCATGGCGCTGAGTCTAAGACTGAGCAGGCCTGGTCGGGCGTGCCATCCAAAGGGGCAGGAATCCTAGAGGGTGCTCCCTGGAACTCCTTTAACCCAGCCCATGGTAAAGATCTCCATAGAAGCTTTGAGGTAGTAAACAAAGCCCAGCTCTTCCCTTTCTCCTCGACGGAAGCTCCACAAAGAAACCAGCTAATCTACTTTCCATGGTACTGGTGACTCACCCCTGCTCCCCTGGCTAGGGCCTTTGGAACAAGATGATCCTGTGGTGATGCGATACTGGGACTCCCAACCTCAAAGATACCAGGTCTCCTTCAGCTCTAGCCCATTACATGTACATGCATATAGCAGGGACACCATTGCTCTGGGCTGTGGATCCTCCGCTGGGCACCTGGCTTCCCTCACCATCTGCTTCACCCTCTCCTACCCCACAAAGACACACAACAATCAGGAAACTACTCAGTCCTCACAGGCACTGGGGTCCAAGCCCACTGAACTCCAAGCCCTCAGTCCCTGGTAACATCAATACGCAAAACTGCACCAGCCAGGTCCACCCCGTAACAACTAGGTCCACACCTCACCACCCATGACATGTGTGCCACACTCAGATAACATATGTCCATATGCCTACCACTTGCAACCCAGGGCATGGGATCCAGCTTTCTGCCATTTTTGTCCAGCCCAAGATAACCCCATAAAGTAGAAGAATGGGGATGTCCCAATGACACTTATTTCCCAAACTCTAAGCCACAGAAGAGGAAACTATTGCAGGGAAACATTTTAGCCTTTCTTCACCCCCTCCCTGGCCCTGCCACCCGAATAACCTAAGGACAAGGAGGAAAGGAAGCTTGCTGCTCTTGTGCCCTCTCTGTTTTCCTGGGCAAGTGCGTTGAGACACAGGTCCTGACCCTCAGAGTGGCTGACAGATCCACACAGAGTATCCCAAAGTCCAGGCTGAAGGAAGTAACAGGTAGATTCGTCTGGACCCCAGTCTAAGCCACATGCTCCCAACACCAGGAGTGACGGTCTTCGGTCCGTTCAGAAATAAAGCCAATGTCAGGCTCCTGAGGTATGGCTTGGGGGTTTCAGATTCTCAAGTCAAATTAAGAGAAGTGAGCACTCCTGAGCCACCAACCAAGGTGTTACTGCGTTTACAAATAATTCCAACAAAGTTGAGTGGGGCTAAAAGTGACCCCAAATGACAGCGAAGTAATTACAATACCAAGCATCTCACTGTATCTGCTGACAAATCAAATCATACCTGAGAAAGGCAGAACTCAGCCATCTATCAACCGATGCCTTTCATTAACATCAATATAACTTACCTTAGAACACACACGCAACTAAGAATCTTAACTTCCTAAAAGTAGATTTTTTAACTTTTTATAAATACTAAGTACCACCCTGGTAGAGAAGAATCTCTAAAAGCTATTTTGTGTGCATAGAAACAGTTATCAATACCACTAACAGTCCTCACTATAAGAACTTATTAATACAAAATAAAGCATTTATGTGGCAAGTAGGAGACATCTGTTTGTCAAGCATCAACATCTCAAAATGGGGCAAAAGCAGAAATTATTTAATAGTGTTAACTGGTCAGCAATATGAGGGTAATTAAATAATAAGCAAATATCAACTCAAATATCTAAAGGCATAGAATTACACCTGGAATCCTAGCATTCCAAGAGGCTGAGGTAGGAAGAGCCATTGAGTTCAGGAGTTCAGAGACCAGCCTAAGCATGAGTGAGACCACATATGTACTAAAAACAGAAAAATTAGCCAGACATTGTGGTGAGTGCATGTAGTCCCAGTTACTCGGGAGAATGAGGTAGAGGATAACTTGAGCCCAGGAGTCTGAGGTTCCTATGGGGTAGTTAGGCTGAGGCCACAGTACTCTAGCCGGGACAACAGAGTAAAGACTCTACCTCAAAAAATAAAATTAACTAAATAGATAAAGGGCATTCATGTAGGTAAGTGTACACCTATGCGCACACACACACACACATACACACATACAAGGAGACAACTGGGTATTTCAGGTTTACATTAATCTCCACTTTTGAGGCAATAGGAAAAGAACAATTCAAAGTACAAGACTACCAATCTAGAACAGATAAAATGTCTAAATATTCCCATATGCTTAAAAGTAACATTGAAATAAAAAAAGGAAACAAGGCCTGGCACAGTGGCTCATGCCTATAATCCTAGCACTCTGGGAGGGTGAGGCAGGTGAATTGCCTGAGCTCACAGGTTCGAGACCAGCATGAGCCAGAGTGAGACCCCACCTCTAAAACTAGCTGGGCGTTGTGGCGAGTGCCTGTAGTCCCAGCTTCTTGGAAGGCTGAGGCAAGAGAATCACTTGAGCCCAAGAGTTTGAGGTTGCTGTGAACTATGACACCACCACACTCTACTGAGGGCGACAAAGTGAAAATTTGTCTCCAAAAAAAAAGGAAACACTAATAATGTTATCTGCAGCCACAAAAATTATAAGGAGTAAATATTTACTTCATATAACCTTTCATACTTAATAAAACAACAGACTCCTATTTCAGACAAATGGACAAAGAGTATGGACACGATACACGAATGGAAGGATGATGTAATTAACAAGTGGAAACACATTCAATGTCAAGTAGAAATAAAATAATCCAGAGATACTACCTTACACTTTTTTTTTTTTTTAAGAGACAAAGTCTTACTTTGTCATCCTCAGTAGAGAGCTGTGGCATCACAGCTCACAGCAACCTCCAGCTCTTAGGCTTAGGCAATTCTCTTGCCTCAGCCTCCA